TAATAACAATAATAATATTCATTACATGATAATGATGATCATCCAAGTTATTCCTCCTCCCATTTCCGGTTCTTGCTGTTGTAATTATTTCTTCTTCTTCTTCTTCTTCTTCTTCTTCTTCTTCTTCTTCTTCTTCTTCTTTGGCGATGATGATGATGATGATGATGCCTACGACAGTGTTGATGTTGTCCGTGACCTTGCAGTAGGACAAAATAAGAGTGACGAGGATGCCCCCAGTCTGCTAGGTAATAAACCACATTAACAGTGCAGAAAGGCGAAGATGATTGGTTTCCTGTCTGAAAGTGGCAAACTCTTTTATTTTATCATAGGAAGCGCGAAGACGGCATCTGCAAAGAAGACGAAGGACATAGATAAAGGCCTCTCAAAGAGCATGTTCGATATAACGCAAATTGTCAACTTGTAATGCGTCTACCTATCTATCTGTAAGCCTACGGGGGTTCATAACTCCATCTGCTGAGTGGAAGAGTAATACCCAAAAGCATGTAGTAGAAGTGTCGTCAAATCCTCATTTGATATGGCTTAACTGAGCAGGACGACCCAATATGCAATGATAAATACCGACTTCAATTTGTGATGTGACAGAGAAGAAAAAGAAAACATATATTCGTTTGATTCTGTGGATGTGGGCCAGATTTGCTGTCATGGAAGTGCACAAGCCACCATTTTGGTACAAATGTCCCAAAACCAAAAAGTTTTGACTTTCTTGGTCCGGATTCGTTTCCAGTTTGTTGAAATGGTGGCCAGCAGCGATCCAAAAATATCACTACACATTGTGGAGTCAGAGTTTGCGAGCGGGATGTGAAAGACCTTAGGTGTTCTAGGACAAATTTAATGAAGCAAAGCGGAGTGAAATATACAGCCGAACAGGCTCTAACTGCCACCTGTGTAAGACAATCACCTGTAAAAATAATAACTACCAATTTCTCTCCTTACGTATATTTTAAAATTATATTAAAGTGACATGGTGTAAGACGTCACCTGTTTATGACAACCACTGTTCTCCTCAACAATGGGAGATCGCCTGAGACAATTTAGACTGTAAACAGGTAGTGCAATGTGATCATGATACATCCAAATAGACTTCTGAAACAAATTTGATGAAGCAAAGTAGATGTCAGATTGATATTGTGTGCGATGACCTGCATCATTAACAGATTCGAACGGATCATGCATTTGGCCGATGTGCATCGGTCCTAACGTAACTTCAGAATGTTCTCGCTAAACTCTCCGGCCATGTATCGACCAGCGGCTAGTTATTGAAACACGGTCCCTCATTACGGTAGACGAGGAGCAGGCCTACCAGCTTTGCCACAACTTCCCATGCTGGCAATGCTGGAATTGACCACCGGTCAGTTCTCAAAAGCAAGACCACAGCGTCATGGCTGGGACAGATGGTGCAAGAGGGATATTCTACTTGGCTGTGACGTTTGGTGCGAGTTCGATGCTTGTCCACACCTTTAAATGCATTTGTCGTCAGATTATATTGCATATAAATAAACTAAAATGTCAAGGACATTATTTTTTATTAACACACAC